ATTTATTTATTTATTTATGAAATCTTATAAAATATAGAAGTTTCACACCAATCGCCTGGAGATTTAGAAGACCTGAGGCAAATTTATTGAAATTCTCATGTGATCTATGACGGGGCTATTAAGCTGTAATATTTGAAATACATATTGGAGCACAAGGAGCACCTCATAAATGCAATTCTAGAGATTGTGGCTTTGATGAAGATTAAGCGAGAGTTTTGTGACCAGGCTCCCTGGGATGCCTCAAAATGGGAGGCATATTTTTTTCTCTCTCCCTGCTCTGCAATTGTTCCTTTGCCAAGAGTTGAGGAAAAGTGTCACAAATCTCTCATCAAAGAGGAGGGGGATTTGCTAGTTTAAGATCAGGTTCTTACTGCCTGCAGTTCTTTCAACACCCTTGAGCAAGTTCAACAGGAGCTAAAAGTAATCAGCATCTCCGAGGGCAGGCATATTTATGGACAAGGGGGAAAATATATCTTCCTTCCTTTTTTTAAGTTATGGAGGGTAAGAATGTTTAAGGTAATAGATTTCTTGACATCCAAGTCCACTTTCCCTAAAACTACAATCTGAGAATAAAAATGCCAAAAAAAGCTAGAATAGAGTTTTCACCAAGATCTCCACCTTGGAAATGGACCCACACACGTATCCAGTGGGAATCCTATAATTTTTCCATCCTTTCCTCTAAACATGGATAAAGACACCCCGATTTTCCTACCTTGGCGATCTGTAAAGGCTGCTTTTCTTCTTTGCCACCTTGAAGTCGAAACCCCCAAGGTGCCCCTCCAGTCATGGTGATGCAGATATAATCCCCGGTACCCATTTTCTTCCTGGCCAGGTCAAGCCGTATCCCTCTGCAGAAAAAACTTCTTTAAAAAAAATCAAGCTGCCTGGTGGTGTCTGTGCGCGTGTTTCCTAGAAGTGACTAGGGGCGATCTTCGCTGAACTTGAAGCTCCCTTTCCAGATGGTGCTCATCGAGAGGCACCCCAGCAAACTTGGGCGGCTGACCCAGCCGGCGCACCGCTCGCTTCTCGCTCTCTCCCTGAAACACCCCAGTCATTCCCTGCGAGAGCGGGACGGGTCTCTCCGCTCAAGGGAACCCGCCCCCTCTTTCGTCAAGTTGGGCTCCCTCTCAGCCGGCCCACCTTCGCGGCAGAGGCAGAGAAACGTCGAGAGGAGGCACAAATGAAAAAAAAAAGATCTGGTGGAAAGAAAAGGCTTGGCGTTGTGAAACCCAAGAGCCAGCTGCCTGGGACAGCTCAATCGGAACAGCATCACCAGCAAAGGAAGTGTAAATCTCCCCGCGAAGATTTGAGACGCAGCGTTTACTTTTCTAAGTGGTCCCAGACTCGCCCAACTATGAGCGCAGCGCGTTTTTTTTGTTTTCTCATAAGTTAAACGAGTGCAAGAGAAAGCGCGGCCCGGGGGGAGGGGAGGATGCTAGAGTTTTCAACGGACCATAAGCGAAGGCGCCCCCAGCAAAAGGGATTAGCAGCCGTCCTCATAGCACAACTGCTATAGCCTTATCCTTTGAAACTTTGCATCATATGATCTCGGCTTTCTACCGTGATAGGCTTGGTATCCTAGGAAATACCTAGGCTTGCCATCATCCTTTTTCTCCTGCCATGAGGGATGAAGGTGCATTTTGTCCCCAGATAGTAGGCAGGCCTTCCAAATCAGATGTCCTCAGCATAGGGCAGCAGGGTATTGTTGTTACCATCAAGTCTCTTCCAAGTTATGCTGAGCCCATAAATTAATAAAGGTGTTGCAAACTCAAGACCTTGGCTTCCTTTATTGAGTCAGTCTGTTGCACAATGGGTCTTCCTCTTTTCCTATTATCTTCCATGCTTCTTAGTATTATTGTCTTTTCTAGTAAGTTCCATCTTCTGATAATGTGACCAAAGCCCCATTTTAATTTCTAGCAAGAGTTTAGGCATGATTTGACGTAGGCCCACTTATTAGTCCTCTGGAGGGCCATGGTATCTCAACCACATTAAAAATTAACCAATTTTTTTGCAATCCACTTTCTTCCTTACTTGGTTTCACATCCATATATTGAACATTGTACAGTAATTGGGACAGTGGACCCTTGACTTACAGACGGCTCGACTTACAGACTTCTCTGGCCGCAAAATTTAGGTTTGACTTGCAGCCGGAGAATCGACCTACAGACCAGAAAAAAACCAAAATGGAACAAAAATGGAACAAAAACTGCCGGTTACAGGATTAATCAGTTTTCAATGCATTGTAGGTCAATGTAAACTCGACCTACAGACTTTTCGACCTGCAGCCACCGTTCCAATATGGATTAATTCCGTAAGTAGAGGGTCCACTGTATTCAGTTTGTGATCTACAACTATTCCAAGATCCTTCTCACTCTGAGTACTACTGAGCCACGTATCCTCCATCTTGTAATTGTACATTTGTTTTTCTTCCCTAGGTGCAGAACTTTGCACTTATCCCTGTTAAATTTCATTCTGTTATTTTCAGCCCAGTGCTCAAGACTATCCATATATTTTTTAAATTTTGTTCCCGTCTTCCAAGATATTGTGTCATCCACACATTTGATAATTATTCCCTGCACTCTCTCATCCAAGTCATTAATAAAAATGTTGAAGAGTACCAGGCCCAGGACTGAGCCTTTTGTTATCCCACTTGCTACCTTCTCTCAGTTTGAAAAGGTGGGAAGTGTGCATGTACCTCCATGTATGGCCTTATCATGTTAGCTGGAGCTCCTGGGTAGAGGCTGATTGTGGAACAGGCTGGCATTGCCCCATTCTCATATATAGAGGAGGGGGTACCTATCTTGCCTTGGTCTATATCCTTGGGGCTGAAAAGATTGCTCATTATGCTCTATTAGGAGATATGGGTGTAACTGCTGATACATCTTGCATGAATGTGTATCTGACTAAAGAAGAATCTTTTCATGGATGTAGAGGATGATGGACATCAGACCATAGCTGATTCTACAGTAGCGTCCTACAGTGCTGCTGAGGCATTGCTAAGGCTTTTTTGTGAGACAGACACAGAATTGTGACAGTAATTCCACACTGCACTTCTTGTGCCATTATATTATGTCAACCCTCACCCCATGCCTAAGATTATTTTTATATTATCTACTGAGAATAAAATGTCAGAAAGAGTCCCCTGAAATTTTAATTAGTAGACTCCCAATTCCAATGTATGGTCCCTATTGAGCACAGCCAACATTACTTTTAAATTGCCACATCATGGTTGTATCCATTCCAGATACGAAAAAAGTTATTAAAAAAAGTTACAACTCCTAGAATTCCATGAATACTATGGTAGTTGATGAATTATAATCTCAAAAAGAAATATATCACTGGTCAGTTCCAGTAATCCACTAAGAAAGGGAAGTGTATGTGAATTGCTGGTTTCTTTCAATGTTTTATTTTACTGTAGAAAGTGTGCTGTATTTATAAACAAAATTAAAAAGGAAAGAAAAATGAAAAAAACACAGGCAATTACATACAAATACATGTAAAGACAATTATTACCACACATGGCTACTGTCAAGAAGAGAAGCTGATTAAACTGACACGTAGGTTCATCAGTTATTTATTAATAATGCTGCCCATGTTAAAGAGACAATCAGAGGCAAAGGAAACTTCTACAGAAGAAAGATGTTAATTAAAGGTACAAAAATCCTCAAAATCCTCAATAGAACTTTGACCGTATACATGGGACAGTCTAGTGCCTACATTTGTGAATTTCTGGATTTTTTTTACCACAAATGTGATAGAAACACAACGCACACACAAAATGGAATGCAACAGAGTGACAGTGATATTGCATTGGGTCGCCTACATTTGTGAATTTCTGGATTTTTTTACCACAAATGAGATAGAAGAACAACACACACACAAAAAATGGAATGCAACAGAGTGTCAGTGATGTTGTATTGAGTGTACACAAAATTAGTTGTCCTTTGCTCTCAATGGGACAATTTGTCATGACTGAGATTCTATATGTTTCAGTAGGAGCAAACTACAACTGAATTGTCTCTCATACATTCCCCAGCCCTGGCAAATCCCAAGAGAAAGCCTATCCACTTGGTAGGAAAAGAATGGGATTGCTATATACACATCACACTCAGAGGCAGATGCTGGGGTACAACAGCTGCAGCAATCCTATCAATCGCTAGGAGAGATGCCAAGAATAGGCAGATTTCTGGCCAAGACAGTCCTATTCATCCCAACACATGGAATAAAGGTAAGTGCCCAGCAGTCCTTTACCAAAGGAAACAAGTTTCACAGCAGGGTGGTGTCCTAGTTAAAATAGGGAGAAGACCAAGTTACTGTATTTAATGATGTGGAAACTCAGGGTGGAGCTACACAGCAGGAAAAAATGCAAATTAATCCACTGTAGAATAGCACCTGAGAAGTTTGGTTCCCTGAGTTAATTTGCTTCAAGAAACCATACAGAAGTCAGCAGGCAGAGAGGAAGAAATGAGAACTCAAGTGTTAAGGTAGCTCTACTCTGGCTGTTCAGATTTTCAGGAAGCATGGTTAGAACAGAGTTACCCTAAAAGCTGGAAAAAACACTGATTGATAACTTTCTCCTTTCTCTCTCTCTCTCTCTCTCTCTCTCTCTGTGTGTGTGCGCGCGTGTGCGCGTGGGCACCCCCCATTTCTCATTCTTCCCCTTCCCCTTTGGTCACCTAGCTGCCTAACACTAAGACAGCAAGCCTTTAAAAGAAAGGAGGAGGATAGGAACAGAACAGAGTGGGAAGGGGAGAGGAAAACAAGCAAACCCAAGCACCAGGTTTAGGGAGGAGAAGAATCGACTGTCAACCAGTTTCTTCACTGCTCTGTCTCTCCCACTGCTGTTGTAACCAGGTGGAATGGCTTCAAACAGAATGGCTACAAACCCCTCCGCATCAGCTCAAGAGATCACATCATCTGAACCAATGCAAAGGCATTTGATTAAAAGAAAATTAGTAACCTCAGTGGTGAAGGGAAAAGAACTATTGATTGGGGGGGGGGAAGAACTCCAAGTGGATTTGCACTGACGATCCAAATCTTGGAGCATTTCTCACATTAACTGTCAATGTAGTTTCCCCTCTATACAGAGCAGAAAAGAAAAATTTGAAATGGTATAAAGACATAAAAAGAAAGAATTAGTGATCCACAAAATTATGAAAATCAGCATGGTGGCATACCATCATAGTACAAATACAAGGGGCAAGGGAGCACTGACGATCCAAATCTTGGAGCATTTCTCACATTAACTGTCAATGTAGTTTCCCCTCTATACAGAGCAGAAGTTCCCAACAAAGTTAAAAAGAAAAATTTGAAATGGTATAAACACATAAGAAGAATTAGTGATCCACAAAATTATGAAAATCAGCATGGCGGCATACCATCATAGTACAAATACAAGGGGGGAAGGGAGGGAACCCAAACAAAAGTTCAACACTTTTGTAAGCAGGGGAAAGATAAGTGTGCTATTCCCCATTACTTAAAAATTTTTTAAAAATGGAGCAGGGCGGGGCGGGGCGGGGTGAAGACTAATGGAAAGTGGCAGGATGAGCAGAAGAAAGAAGCCAAATCCAACACATTGTGTGGATTCTCCATAAAAAGTGAGAGGGGGAAAAAGATGGCATTTTCACAAGGCATAAAGAAACTGTGCCCAGTTTCCTTCGAAAAGTACTGGGAATCACTAGGTACCTAACAGATAATTTTGGAGATTAATTTTGAGATTAATTTTGAGAGTTCATGCCTACATATGCACCCTCAGAAAACAACAGGGTCATTTTCCACACAGGTAATCCAACTGAGGAAGAAATGTTCCTGTCAAAAAGGTGGGTAACTTATTCCCACAAGAGAGGGATTTAAAAACAGTTCTCAGAGCCCTAGTATCTTTAGGAAATACCTTTCATTGAGCAACTCTAATTCCAACTACCATATATGTCTTGCTTAGATTTCTATTTACTAGTGTATCTTGGGGGTTTTTCCCCCACATTGCCACTATCTCCATCTGCATTTTTTGCATCTTTTGGGATTTCTGTATCACTCCTCATAAATCAGAAAAGACTTCCTGGAAAATGTCAGCAACTGTCTTATTTGGAAAAGCTAAGAAAAAAAATAAAAATTTGCATGTTGAAACAAATGACCATGGAAATAGTTTCGCATCCTGAAGCCATGATACAGAGGCTGTCTTACTTTGTCACAAGGTGAAAAACAGGTCAAGATTTAAAAAACAAAAACAAAAAACAATATTCTGCTTCTTTACATCATTTCACATTTTGCAGAATGGTGCCCTAGACTCTTATGTATGGTTGTGACTAAACAATGAGAAAAAGCTGCTTTGATGTGAAATTTTTCAAATCTAGTCCCTGCCGGTTTTCTTAGGGAGAATCATTGTACCAATCCAGACTAATATGAACTATCATCCTGTTGCAGGAGTCAGCAGGGGCAGAATGCTGTAAAAAGAGCTATCTTTGATCAGCAATTTCCACTGGGACCAGACACTCCACCTCTTTTTTAATTTTTAATTTTTCTGACATGACATAGCACTTAACCTGAATCACTGCTGACTTTGCAAAGCTTTTTTAAAATAAGGAAACATTGTCTGGAGTCAACAGACACTCAGTTGAGGGGAAACACCTTCCCCCCCTTGCCTTCCCCTTCATATCAGACCAGGCAGTCACACAAGGCAGAAAACAGAAAAATCATGCCAACTGAATCAGAGTAAAATAACTGTTGGCTGAACAGAAAGAAGCAATTCCCACTGGACAAAGATGATCTCCCAACTGGGCTTCCCCCTGCTGAGTTCTCCATTATGTCGCTGACAGTTTTTAATTCGATTTCATCTGCACCAAATCTGATACATACTGCAGGGTAAATGGCTAATGTACCTGCTTCCATGTCTAAACAGTAATGACTCCCACTGAATTCAGTAAGAAGTACAGCAAACTAAGCATGTTGACAGATCAGTGGAATGATTCTGAGGAACAAAGTTGGTGGGGACAATTTCACAAGATTTTTTTAAATCTTAGAATTACTGAGTCAATTTCACGATTTTCAAGCACTGCTTCCTCTGTTCTACTCCACTCAAAGAAAACAAATCCAAACTACAGGCTGGAGGTTCAATCTCTGGCATCTGCACGTAGGGCTAGAAAGAATCCTGCTGAAATCCTAGATAGCTGCTGCTAGCCAGTGTTGATAATACTAGGACTAAGGTTCTGACTCTGAATAAAACAGCTTTATAGGCCCCATGTTCATGTCAGTATATTCTGTTCATTTCTTTCATACTCCTCCTGAACAGTTACAGAAAATATTCTTTTCTTATTTTCTGTGTTCACACATCTTTAGAAATAAACTGCACCCAGAGGAAAAAAAACCTAGACTTTCTGCAAATTATGAAAATAATCAGAATTAAATCTGAGAATGGGGCTATACTTATTAGTAGTAAAACTCTGCATGTATTTGTACTACAGTTATAATTGTTAGTATACACTACTAAGTTGCAATTAGAGTAGTCCCCTTTGAATAGCAATTATAACTGTAGTACACTCGCCAAATCCCTGCTGATTTAATGACCCTACCCTATTGCAACTCACTACTGAAAGTAATAGGATTTCAGCCATTGTTTTGTAAATAGACATAAAGAATAAAATAAGTGAGGACGCTACAGGTAAAAAATAGGCAGAAGTCACATACCAAATGTGTGTTTGGTTCCACGTCATTTCTCTCTCACATTACGGGTGTTTGATGGCATCTTCTCTTTAAATACATGGTTTTGTCAATGTTACATGTAATCTGACCTTAGAAAACGTAGGAGACAATGAGAATGTCATATATGGCAGTGCAAGATGGTGTCCTATTTTTGGAAGGGAGGTGGATATAAATCTAATAAACACAATGCAATAAATAACATGGTATCATTTGATATCGATCCCAGCCGCATCTGTCCAAAATACCAATTCTTCACAGGCAGGGTGGTTGAAGGTCTTGACTCCGAAGGAGGTCCAGAGGGAAAGAACAAGAAACCGGGCCTTCTCAGCAGTTGCCCCTTGCCTATGGAACAACCTGCCTATTGAAATCCGACTGGCACCCTTGCTGGATGGGTTCAAAAGAACATTGAAGACCTATTCCACCAGGCTTTCCTGGAGCATTAAGATCCCAGCCTCCCTTTTACCATCCTTTTTGCCATCCTCACCATCACCCCTTTTTACCACCTTCATTGCCATCTGTTTTAATTTACCCTATTTGGTTAGGTATTGATTTATTTTTATCGTGTTTTAATATTGTTGCTGATATTGTTGTTAGCTGCCCAGAGTGGCCTTGTTGCCAGATGGTGCGGAAAATAAATAAATAAATAAATATTGTGTTATGTGTATTATTCATATACAGTATTTAGTTTGCAGAACAGACTTCTATTCAGATTTGTAAGAGGGAACATTTTACATGGCTGGCATTCTGAAATTCAGCTCTGAATTCAACTCGTACAGTACGCATGATAGAAACACAATCACTTAGACCCCTGTATTTAAGACCACATAACGACTGTTTCCAGGAAACAACTACACCTCTCTATATTACAGGGTATAAAAATTAACTACAAAGATACTCTTAAAATCAACTGCTTATATCAAATCAAAGGCTTTCAAAGTACGGTATGCACACGAACATACATTCTTTCCTCTTGGAAATCTCTCCTCCCAAACTTGGAATTATTTATTGAGTTCAGCTCCACATGCTGAACACCTGTACCACACACCTTTAATCCTTGCAGCATGAGCTTGAATAGTTTGCATTCCTGTTTTCTGTTGCCACTGGGAAGTAACCAGGGGATAAAATATTGCCAGATGGAGTAAAAGACCGTGTCATTTTTTAAATGATATATTTAATGAACGAACATGTTGGTTTGACAGTTTTCCTTAAATGTTCCTTAATCTAGAGATATAATGAGCTCTGTCCAAAAGGTTCACTATTGTTTTACAAAGGGCACATGTATACTGTATAGAGATTTTCTTGCATATAACGGATTTCACATTAGACTTTTAAAAAATGTTGTTATGTTCAAGAGATAATTTAAAAATAAATCTATATATGTACATTTCCTTTCAAAACCAATTATGAATCTTTTGCACAGAGCTCATTATATCACTAGGCTAAATTCAATATTAATTGAATCCAGACTGGGCCTTTCCAAATGGGGATAACAAACGGACAAACAGCGCATACCGTATCTGCTTCTCTGAGTCATGATTCACCAGAAAATAGTACAGGATGCTTTTTGTCTTACTGCTGTCCAAGGCCAGGGAAGGTATGACTCTCCAGATGCCATTGACCTTCAGCTTCCACTATCCCTTCAGCCACTGCTACACTAACTAGACCTGATGTGCACTATAGTCTAACATCATCTGGATTCAGATGAACTGTCTTGTCAGCTTTGTATTAAAATAAAAGTTCTCCTCATAATTTTTTGTTCAGTGGTCATTGTATCTGGAAAAACTAGGCCAGAAAGCTCTGCCCAATTCACTCAGTTGCCCTGAGATAAATTTACCTGTTCCATGCTATTCTTGCTTTGTGCTCCTGGCTCGTATCCCAGTTTGCCATTGCTTACCAGAGTCATTTCCCTCACTCCATATAGGACCCAACATAACCTGAAAATATCCTTACTAGTAAACCCCACCTCCATCCTCCAAAACAACAACTAATCTTGTGGAAAGCCTAAAGGTCAACACATTTCTTATTGCATACTATTTTATGGACCAAAAACAAAAACAGTGTAAAGGATAGACGCCAAAATATGTAGGTCTCAGGAAACCTGGGTCTAAATCCATGCTCAGCCATAGAAACTCAGAGTTGCTTGCTAACCCACTCTTTGAACATCTCACATACCTTGAAAACTCTCTTAACAGTCAGAAGGAACTTGATAGCACATTGAAAACTTTATGTATGAAGAGCCTCCCCTCCAAATAAAAGTTAGTGACAAATGAATTACAAAACCAAATATTTGCAAAATAAGCACGGCACCCTTCCAGAGCAGCAGGCAACTGGTGACTGAATTCATAAGCTGACACAGAACTCTTGTTTTTCCTGCTTAACATGGAGAATGTGCAATTGACCCTAAAGGAATGTTTTTGAAGCGCAGAAATGCCTGGGTTCTTGCTTCCTTGAGGAGACCAATATTTTCCCTTTGCCCTGCCCATATTCCTCCGGCGATTTTTTTTAGCTCCCGCCGCGTTAATTTCTGGCTGGCCAATTGAGCTTTTCTCTTTCTTTCAGTAAACGACTAGCACGAGAGTAAGGCGGAAAGGCTTCACCACCGGCAATGCGCATGCTC